GCTGCTGCTGCGCCGCAGACCCTCCGCGGGCTTCGCCTTCTTTGACATTTTTCTCTTTTCTTTTTTGTCTCATTTAATTGACAAAAATAAATTATTTAAAATTAAAAAAGAGTAATTAATTTTAAAAATAAAATAACTAAAAATAATCAACTTAGAAATAAAAATAGTCCAAAGGATTTTCTCAAGAGCCTCTGCTGCTGCTGCTGTTGCTGCTGCTCGTATTTCTGCTGCTGCTGCTGCTAGTAGTGCTCCTGCTGCTGCTGCTGCTAGTGTTGCTGCCGCTGCTGCTACTATTGCTAGTGCTGCCTTTGCTGCTATTACAGCCGCCGCAGCTGCTACGATTGCTGCTGCTGCTGCGATTGCTGCTGCTGCTGCTACAAGTATTGCTGCTGCTGCTGCCACTGTTGCTGGTGCTGCCGCTGCTGCGGATACGTTCGAGCAGCAGAAGCAAATAGATAAAGGATTTATTTCAATTTCCTGAAATTGAATTCGACAAAAATGGCACTTAAAATTAATCAACAAAAAACAAACTTCAAACAAAATGCCTCCAGAGGTCTCCGCATGCATTTAATTTGCTGCGCACAGCGCAGCAGCAAACGGATTCGGACCCTGCTGCTGCTGCTGCTGGAGCTGCTGCTGCTGCTGCTGGAGCTGCTGCTGCTGCTGCTGGAGCTGCTGCTGCTGGTGCTGCTGCTGCTGACGCTGGAGGCGCTGCTGCTGCTGGAGATGCTGCTGCTGCTGCTTCGGCTGCTGCTGCTGCAGCTGCAGCTTGAGCTTCTGTCCCCGCAGCAATAGCGGGCGCGTTTGCCGCTGCTGCTGCTGCTGCTGCTGCTGCTGCTGCTGCTAGAGTGAGGGGCCCTTTGTCTGTTTGGAGAGAGATTGCATGCAAAAGAGGATAAAAACTTTCATTTAAAAAAATCTTTTTTTTATTTTCTTTTTTTGTTTCTTTTTCCCTCCACAAGTTTAGGTCTCCCCAGGGCTCAGAGATCCACAGAGGAAACAACATCACTGGCTGCTGCTGCTGCTGCTGCTGCTGCCGCTGCTGCTGCTGCTGCTGCTGCTGCTGCTTGTGTCCGCTGTGAGTGTCTCGGGTTTGCTTCGCGAGTTGAGAGTGCAGCAGCAGCAGCTGCTGCTGCATGTGGGGCCCCACAGCTGCTTGTGGGGCCCCACAGAAGCTGCGGCAAGTTGCGGTGTACGTACACCCCAGCACTGGGTGCCCCAGAGACAGCGCATGCAGCCGCACAGAGTGAAGTGACCCTACAGGCAAAATAAAACAACTAAATTAATTAATTTAATTAATTTAATTAATTAATTTAATTAATTCATTTGACTTATTTAATTTAATTAATTTAAATTGGTTTGAATTGATTAAAAAGGATTTAAATTCGTTTAAATGCAATAAGTTGGAAAGCCGCGAATGGGCAGAAAGAGCAAAAGATTTCACAAGCTTTATTCAGCAACCTGCTGCTGCTGCTGCTGCAGCAGCAGCTGCTGCTGCTGCTGCTGCACCTGCGAGCAGGGAAATGTAGCAAAGGGTCACTTCTTGGCCGTTTAAATTTGCTGCTAGAAAAGCCCCAAACTCTGTTGCTGCTTCGAGGCCTTCTTTGGGGCTGCCAGCCAGCCTGTAGAGGCCCTCGCTGCTGCTGCTGCTGCTGCTGCTGCTGCTGCTGCTGCGGGGTGGGCCTCTAGGGCGGCATATTGGCGAAGAGACACTCCACAAACCCAAAGGCAAACGGCCGCTTAAAACGCCCAACAGCAAAGCGCGCATCGCCTGCTGCTGCTGCTGCTGCTGCTGCTGTTGCTGCTGCTGTTGCTGTTGCTGTTGCTCTTGCTGCTGCTGTTGCTCTTGCTGCTGCTGGGGACGCTGCTGGGGATGCTGCTGCTGCTGATGAGGATGAAGCTGCTGCTGCCGCTACAGGAGAAGCAGAAGCAGCAGCGCGAGTGGGCGAAGCGGCAGCTCTAGCAGCAGCAGCAGCAGCAGTAGCAGCAGCAGCAGCAGCAGTAGCAGCAGCAGCAGCAGCTGAAACGGGAAGCAGGACGCAGCAGGAGCAGCAGGTCCAGTTGCTGCCGCCGCTGCAGCTGCTGCAACTGCAGCAGCAACAAGACCTCTAGCTGCAGCAGCAACAAGACCTGCAGCTGCAGCAGCACGGAATTGGCCCAAATGCCTTTGCTGGGCTTTCTTGCAGCCACGGTATGTTGAGGTGTACATACACCCCAAAAAGTTCCTTTTACATAAAAAACAAAAATTAAAAATAAACAAAAGTCCTATAAACGGCTCAATAACTTCGAAACAAAACCCAAAAATTCCCTAGAAAATAAAGGGCCCCCGAGGGCCCCCGGGGGCCCCTCGTGGGTCCTAGGGGCCCCCGGGGCCCCGGGGGGGCCCTTGGGGGCCCCCCAAGAGGCATCGAGGGGCCCCTGTTGCCTCATTTAATGCGAAATGTGTTTGTTTTTGAAATTGGATTTTAATTAGAGTTGAATTTGTTGAAAAGAATTAAAAGAAATGAAGAATTCAGATCCTAGTTTTCCGCGGGACGCGCAGGGGCTGTACACCTCAGTAGTGTCGCGGGATTATCCGAAAGCGAGAAATCGCCATTTGCATTTAAATTGAATTTTAATTTGATAAATGAGTCAAATAAATTGAAATTAATTTCATTTTAACTCGATAAATGAATCAAAGAAGTCGAAATCGATCCCACAACGGGAAATGCAAAATGCCAATCTGCTGAGCCAGCCCGCCTCGCAGCAGCAACTTTTGCTTTCCATTTGCGCATTTAAAGTGAACAAACTGAATTAATAAATGAATAAAAAGAATAAAATGAAGAAAACAATAAATTAAAAGAATGAATCGAATTTCATAAATAAATGTAGCCCAGGGAACAAACGGTGCCCATACACCCCAGCTGCCTATACACCCGCGAGCTGCCTATACACCCGCGAGCTGCCTATACACCCGAGCTGCTGGACTTCTCCTCTTTTAAATTCCTTTTTATCCCAAAATACCTAAATTACACTTTGGAATGCTTTCGCAGTAGCCAAACCAAACTACTGCAGCTGCAGCAGCACTACCAGCAGCAGCACCAGCATCACCAGAAGAAGCACTAGCGGCAGCACCAGCAGCAGCAGCAGCAACAGAAGCAGCAGCAGCAACTGGAGCAGCTAGCATAAAAGCAGTACCTCTAGCTCTCGCAGGACTACAACTAGCAGCAGCAGCAGGAACAGCAGCAGCAGCAGCAGCAGCAGGAACAGCAGCAGCAGCAGGAACAGCGGCAGCAGCAGGAACAGCAGCAGCAGCAGCAGCAAGAAGTTGCAAGGCAAAAGAAGCTTAGTTGTGGTTCACCGCTCGGGTGTATATACACCCGAGCGGGTAAAAAGCCTTCCAGTCCTTTTCACGCTAAACAAATTTTGCCTTTCATTTCTTTTCTCTTATTTATTTCTTTATTTCTTTTACTTATTTCCTTTATTATTTACTTTTATTATTTATTTTATTTATCTTATTTTATTTATTTATTTATTTATTTTATGTATTTATTTATTTTGTCTAATTTGTTTCGGCTGTGCCGGTTCGGCACCGCCGCCCAAATGCATTTTAACTTTTCATTTTTAATTTCCAAATAAATTTCTTTTCTTTATTCTTTAATTTGTTTTTTATTTTATTTATTTATTTAATTACATTTATTTTATTATTTTTATTCCATTTTATTTGTATTTACATTTATTTGCACTTTGACTGTTTGCAATAACAAATGAATAATAATAAATCAATGATAAATAATAAATGAATAATAAATAAATGATAAATAAACAAATAGAGAATTTGGCATTTAATTAATTGAATTAAATCAATTAATTTAATCAATTAAATCAAGCAATTTAATCAAACCGATCAACACAATAAATTGAATCGATTTAATTAATTAAATCAACCAACTTAACTAAATCACTTAATTTAATCAATTAAAGCACTTAATTTAATCAATTAAAGCACTTAATTTAATCAATTAAACCAATTTAATCAACCAAATCAACCGATTTAATTAATCAAATCAATTTAATCAATTAAATCAACCAATTCAACTAATTAATTAATCAACTTTGACGGAGTTTGGAGTTGTTTGGGAAGTGTTATTCTTCGGAACTTTAATTTCCAAAACTCCATTATTATAATTTGCTGTTATCTTTTCCTGCTGCGCCTCGGGGGGCAGCGGGAGGCTTCTGAAGAAGCTGCTGCTGCAGCGTTCCTGCACGAACCAGCGGCCGTCCTGCTGCTGCTGCTGCTGCTGCTGCTGCTGCGGGCTGCTGCTGCTGCTGCTGCTGCTGCTGCTGTGGCCGCGGATTATCAGTCTCCCGTTCTGCGTCTCCACCTTTATGTCTTTCTTGTCAAGTCCCGGCAAGTCTGCATGCAGCAGCAAATTGTCTCCCGTGTCTCGGATGTCCAGCCGCGGGATGCAGCTGCTGTGGGAGAACCAGTTGCTGCTGCTGCTGCTGCTGGCGGGCCACTGCAGCAGCCCGCTGCTGCTGCTGCTCCACGGAGACAGCAGCCCCTGCTGCTGCGCACCGGCAGGCCCCGCCCCAGCCAGCTGCCGCTGCTGGTGGTCCTGCAGCTGCTGCTGCTGCTGCGCAAGCTGCTGCTGCTGCTGCTGCGCCTCGCTGCTGCGGTACGGCCGCCACCAAAAACCCGGACTGAAAAAGCTGTGCTGCTGCATCAAAGAATCAAATCGATTTAAAGAGTCCCAAAGTTCTCCATAAAGGGCTTCGAAGGGCGAGCGGGGGGGGTCCATTGTGGCCTGAAAAGAAAAGAAAAAAACAACATTTTCATACCTGAACGTTTAAATTCAAGTTCAAATTCAAGTTTGCTGCTGCTGCTGCTGTTGCTGCCGCTGCGCTAGCTGCTGCTCTTTCAAATAAAGGCTTTAGTCCACTCAAAGGCCTCCGGGGAGCTCCGGAAGGCGGGTGTCTTTGCTGCTGCTGTCAAAGCAGCAGCAAGTGTGGCTGCGGTGTCTCGGCAGAAAGTGCCGGAGAAGCTGCGCTGCAGCTTCCCCAGCCTTCTGGAGACTCCGAAAGACAATTAATGAATCAAAAATAAACAAAAATAAATTAAAATAAATTAAAATAAATAAAAGTGAAGCGCTGGAACTGCCGAGGACGAAAACCCCGGCAGCTTCCCGCGAGCGCCGCCGATGCAACTCGGGGTGTATGCGCAGGTTTGCAAACCCCCGCGCTTTCTTTTCGCTTTTTTCGAAACACTTCATTTTTAAAAAGACTTTTGGGAACTTTTCTGCATTTTGCAACGCAGAAGGCGTAGGAAACTTCGGGAAAATTGTGTGTGCGGGTGTGCATGTGTGTCGGCTGACCGCGGAAGGTAGAAGAGGAAAGCTGCCGGGAATCCTCGGAAAGCGAGCTGTTTTCCAGTTGAAGCTGCTGAGTTTCGCAATTAATTCATAAATTCGAAATTATAAATCTGAAGAAGAATTCAAATGACGCGTTTCACTTCGCGGGCGCTCGAGGGCTGCGGGCGGCGTTGAGCAAGGTGTACATACACCCGGTGGCTCTGCGAGCCGCCCCGCCACTGCGCCCCCGATCTCAGCTCTTTTCGCGTCTAATTGAATAAATTTTTAGTCATTTTCAATCATTTAACTCATTTAAATCCAATTTAACTCTTCTGGGAGTCCGGAGGCGGCCCGTTGCCCCCCTCCTGTTCCTGACACCCCCAGCCCGAGCAGCTTCTCGGGATTTTCAGGTGTCTGTACAACTCACACCCACTGACTCTTCCCCAAATTCTTCTGCCGCCCAGCACGAGCCTTCTGGTGTATGTACAGCTCCACTCAGCTCATTTATTTGCTGCTAATAGCCTAGGGGCCGTGTCAGTGCCCTAGTTGCTGCTAAACAACACTCTAGGGGCCCCCAGGGGTCCCGAGGGGCCCCTGAGGGCTCCCGGGGGCCCCCAAACACCTGTTACGATTGCGCTGCTGCTGCTGCTGCTGCTTCTGTTGCTGCTGCTGCTATTGAAGCTGCTGCTGCTGCTGTTGCTGCTGCTGCTATTGAAGCTGCTGCTGCTGCTAAGGTTGCTGCTCCTGCAGCTAATGCTGCTGCACTGGTGCTAAAGCTGCTGCAGCTGCTACGCTGCTGCTCCTGCTGCTAAAGTTCCTGCTGCTGCTTTGGCTGCTGCTGCTGCTGCTAAAGCAGCTACGCTGCGAATCTGTCAAGAAAGCAAATGGGTTTCTGCGAGTTTATGAAGTTTCTGAAAAGTTTTTTTTAAATTAAAAATAAATAATAAATAAAAAATGAAAAACGCATTTTGCAAGTGTGCAGTATAAGTTGTTCTTTTTGATCTTTCTGCTTAATTAGATTTAATCAAATTTAATTTAAATTGTTTTCATTAATTCCAACAAATTATTTTTTCTCTATTTTGTTTTTGTATTTTTTTCTGCATTAGCAGCTTTATTCA